TACATTCAGACCAGGGACGAAACTTCGAATCTGCCATCTTTAAGAAAGTTTGTGAGATCATGGGCATTCGTAAGACAAGGACAACACCTTTACACCCTCAGTCTGATGGCATGGTGGAACGATTCAATAAGACCATAGAGGAACACCTGACAAAAGTGGTCGCAAAGAACCAACGAGATTGGGACAAGCATTTGCCTCTCTTTTTAATGGCTTACAGAGCGGCTGTTCACGATTCAACAGGTGAAAGTCCGGCTAGAATTGTTTTTGGAAGGGAACTCAGGTTACCTTGCGATCTGATGTTTGGAGTACCCGAAGAAGAACGAAGAGAAATCCGAGATTATGCCGACGAAGTAAGGGCACGACTTCTGGGTATCCATGATTTTGCTCGGGAGCATATTCAACTAGCCAGTGACCGAATGAAGACCAGATACGACTTGAAGGCCAATTCGGTCGGATTTCAAGAAGGTGATTTAGTGTGGTTGTATAACCTAGTAAGGAAGAAAGGAGCATCACCGAAATTGTCTTCAGCATGGGAAGGACCCTATAGAGTAATCAAGAGGATCAATGATTTGGTTTATCGAGTCCAGCGCAACACCAGGAGTAAGATGAAAGTTGTACATCTGGACAGGTTGGCGAAATATCATGGGCGTGAAGTTGATCGGGACGATCAACCTTAAGAGGAGGGCAGTGTCACAATAAGCTAAACGTCCGCCAGGCTGTCAAGAATCGATCGCGGAAATACTAGAATCTAGCGAATTATTCTACTTTAATCTGGAAAATTAGATTATCGTGTGTATTCTAGATTTTACAGGAATAGATTTAGGGATATATAAGAAGGCCGGCATTGATTTGTAAGTTAAGTTTCAGTTCGACTGTGATACGATTTAAATAGTGATTGTAAAGAGTTTAATTGTTGAGTTTGTTAATAAAGTAATTAGTGTCAGAGTGTTTTGTTAAGTGGAATAAATTATTGCTGTGTTAATTGGACTTTGATTTTTGGAATAAACGAAACAAACAACGAACCCAAGATTTTTGTCAGGAGGCAACCCAAAGCCGCGACAGTATCATCTAATATTATGCATGTTTAAATTATTTAAAGGCGTAATGTGCCATCTGCAGGTGGCCGATGCCCAAGTTCGAATTCTTGGTTAAACGCTATAGGGGGGTGGACGTCAAAAGCCTGCCGCCCACGTCCCTGCCACTTTTCCTTTTTTGTATAATTTAGCAGTTTTTGTAATCTCACAGGTAATCGATTAATTGGTAGTTGAATTCTATTATGCACGTCTACTTGTGTCCGTTGTCTCTTGTAAGTGATGTATGTACCTGCGACCAAGCAGCACTGGAGATGGCTCAGGGCCGAAAGCGCTCTGCGGATTTTCTTAATAAACTATTGCACAGAAAACATACCCCTCTCTCCTGCAATAGTTTTTGGTCAACTATTTTTCATAATTCAATTACATGGAAAGGCTGATGTGACTATGTATATTTTATTTATAAAATGTAACTACTACAATATTTAAACAAGCTTTTTTCGTTTTTAGAATTGCATGTTACCCTTAAAACTGTAAGTGATCGGTTGAAAGAAAGGGAAATTTATCACGGTTTCCAGTTAAGTTTAGGCAGAATTTTTTCCACAGTTGGATTTACCTATAGAAAGGATGATCCAAGAAGAGCCCTAATGGAAAAGCCTGAGGTGAGCCATCTGAGAAGAGTTTTCCTGAAGTCCTATATGGACAACGAAGCCTTAGGTCCTGCTAAGCTTCCATATGTGTTTCTTGATGAAACATGGATTTTTTCAAATGGATCCTTAAGGAAGTCTTGGCAGGATGAGGATACTCGTTCCGTGAAGAAAATCAAGGGTGATGGTAACAGGTATGACACTGTCAGATGAGTAAGTTTAAGAAAAAAAATACGTTTTATTTTTGTAAGCTAAAAAAGATGCAATCAAGTTAATAATATTATTTTCAAGGGAATTCCTAAGAGACCTATGTTATTATTTAACTAGAATAATGCAACATTGTGTTTCAGATTCATAATTTTACATGCGGGAGGACAAGATGGTTTTATCGATGGTTCCAGCCTGATTTTCAAATCAAAAACTAATTCAGGGGACTACCATGGGGAGATGAACAGCGAACATTTTGAAAATTGGTTGCGAAATGTTCTTTTTCCCAAATTAGCGGAACCATCTATTATTATCTTGGATAATGCGTCCTATCATAGCAGGCTACTTGAAAAGTGGCCTGTTATGAGCTGGAAGAAAGACGAGATGCAGAGGTGGTTGGAGGCAAAGGCTATCCCTTTTGACCCAGCGTCCACAAAAGCAAGCTTGTGGAACATCATCCGACAAGTCCCCAAGACCAAGAAATCCTTTGTTGTGGACAATATCATTATGGAAGCGGGTCACCAGGTTTTGCGCTTACCTCCATACCATTGTCAATTCAATGCGATTGAAATGGTATGGAGTCAAGCTAAACGGTATTATGACCAGCTGATCCTTGAGCAAAAAGATGTCTTAGGGACATGGCATAAGGCGCTGGATAATGTGTCCAAAGACCAATGGGCACATTATGTAAAACACACGCATGAGGTAATTAGGGCCGCATATGACAAGGAAAAAAATGTAATAATTCCTGTGAGCAAAGTGCAGCCCCCCTAATTATAAACTTCGACTCTGACTCGACTAGTGATAGTGAATAGTACAAACCCTGGTATAATTTTCTCATTATTCACCTATTCAATTTATCCATTGACTCGTTTTATTCCAGGAACTGCCTCGTTTATCATTTATAGAAATTAAGATTGTTCCTGTTCTATGCCTTTTGAAAGAAAACCCCACAAACCCTGGTATAATTTTCTCATTACTATTTAATTTATCCATTGACTCGTTTTGTTCCAGAAATTGCTTCGTTTATCATTTATAGAAATTAGGATTGTTCTTGTTCTATGCCTTCTGAAGGAAAAGTCCCAGAAACCCTGGTATAATTTTCTCATTACTGATTTAATTTATCCATTGACTCCTTTTGTTTCAGAAATGGCTTCGTTTATCATTTATATTTTTCAATTGATTGATTGATTGATTTATAGAAATTAAGATTGTTAATATTCTATGCCGTTTGAAAGAAAAGCCCCACAAACCCTGATATAATTTTCCATTATTCAATTAATAATCATTAATTCGTTTTATTTCAGAAATTTTCTCGTTTATTTTTAGAAATTAAGATATCTTAATCGTACTTATTTTTGAAGCTTTTTTGCCAACCTCAGGAGAATTCTGGATGCATGGAATGCTTCTGTTTCTGGTTGACACGTTTCTATATCATTGAAACAAGACCTAAAATAATCAATGTGCATAATTAAAGTTTTAAAATAATAAATTTGTTTTATTTCCAAAGCCACGTGTTCCTTATAACCTGTCTAATTGATTTTTTGTTCTTGAAAAGAAATGCCAAAAATTACATAGAATTAATTGATGTATATTATTACTATGCAGGATTTTAATAACTTAACTTCCCCTAAAGAAATTGATAATAAATTTTCATTCTGAAATGTAAATCAATTTTCTAAATACGGCCCTGTCGTTTATCCCACCTCGGAATCGAAGCGCTAACAAATGCTGGCAACCTACAGAAAAAAATTACTGGGATTGTCAAAGTGAACTGTCAACTTTTTTTTCTATCGTGAATTTGACCATACCTATATTGTCACATAATATTAAAGCCCTTCAGGTTACGTATTGTTACTTCAACTTTGATTAATGATCTACCTATATCTTTTTAATATCTCATAAATACCGTCGCTTATCTGACAAATGGGCGTAAGTACCATAAGCATTATTTGACAGGAAAGCAATTTAAAGAAAATGTATCATATACCTGGTTCCGTGTTTGTGTTAATTGAAAAGCAGTTTCAGTGATAATATTTTATTTAGACTGCTAAATACACATACTTTTTCCAATTACTATTCGAATTCAAGAAATTTCAGGCGAACATGATAAAATATGACTTAGATGGACATAATACGTCCCTTCGTCAGATCTGAATATTATTGTTATCTTACTTAAGCCTAGTAATGCACTTAACAAAACTTTAGTAACAATATGCAGTAAAGAACAAAAAGAAAATCCCACTCTATGAACAAAACACAAACAAAAGTTAACATTGAAAAAAAAATCGGTTTAATCCGTATAAATCACAAGAAATTAACAAAATAACTTTATTCTAAAAAAAGAGAACGAGAAGCTAATTATTCCAATCATGGGGAAGGTCCATGAAGAATTGTTGGAAAGTTTTGTCTCGTACGACTTGTATCCGATCTGTGCATAGATCCGTAAGATCTTTCTATTTATTTGCTGGGAGTTTTATCTGGCCACTGTTTATTTTGGGTATAGGTTTTTGGAGCACGTCAGGTGGTAGTCTTTGTAGTGGCAGTTGCTGATATTCAGCATCATGGTGACTTTTTTTAATATCGATTACAGTGACGTCATCTTTGTTTACCATTACTTCCTTAATTTTGGTCCAGTCCACATTTCCACCAGAGTCTAGTTTTCTGGTCACGCGAAGGCGGATTTCTTCAGCCAATGATTTATAATCAAGAAATTCTTCGGTGGTCATTTCGAAAACCGTGTACGGAAAATTTCTTCTGGCGAGTCTAAAGGGGGGTAACTGAACTGTACTGGTATATAATTATTTCCGGCGGACCGAAATGCTGTTGCAATAGAACTATGAACGGAATCCCCTTCATTTTGCCCATGATTTTTTTGGAAAAAAGATAATACAATTTCACGTATGTTTTTTGAATTTGTGACAACTTGTAGTAACATGGTAAAAACGATTGTATTTTTGTTCTGGCCACCACAACCATCTGCGAAGAGCCTGCTCTCTTCTTTTATTCCTTGGTTGTCCAGTTGTGTAAATATCTGCCAACCATGTAGACATTTCATGGGCACCTCTTTTACTCATAACTTCCGACCAAGAGAAGCAGTAGCACTCTCTATTGCCTATATTGTGAATACTGAAGGTAAATACCAACAAACGACGACGATAAGACAATGCATTTTCTTTACTTTAGGTAACTGAATAACTTGTTGCATGTCAAAAACAGCAGCAGTTATTAAAGCTGGGTTGTTTTTGGGCATTTCCTTAGCATCCTCCTTCTTTTTGCACACAGTGTTTTTCTCGGCGACATTTGCAGTGTATGCATCTTGAAACTCTAATTTTTTATTTGCATCACCTTCCCTGTACGACAAACAAAGACTGCATTGGTCCTTCCTGGAATCGTGGAAGGACAGATTCAGTGATTCAAATACTCTAAAGTAAGTATGGTAGCTGCATTTTGGCTGCTCCAGGCTCTCTTCTTGGTACAAGTTAACCGTTTGCTTCACGTTTAAGTCGGGATGTAAATATTTTTTTGAAGTCGATTTTCTATAAAACAGCGACTCCATTTTTGGGAACTTTTGAATGTGAGCCAGAGCTGAGGCTCTCATAAATTCGTCTTTTTGTTTCAAGTTTGCATAAGGCAACGCCCCTACACGTTTATCGAACGGAACTATGCCTTCCACTGTTCTCTTGCTTATTGCCGTCCGAACTGCTTTTTCGGAAACTGCCAGTGTGTTCTGAAACGTAGGTAATTTTACAAGCTGTTAATGATCCTCTGCCTTTGGTAAACAATAAGCCAAAGTTGTTGTTCTTATGAACTCTGTTGTAGCAGTTCTTCTCTTTTTAACATTATTCTCATTGATATGGCGCACAACGAACTCCCTCTGTAATCGAAGACTTTGTATATTGTAGAAAGCGTGAAATATTTCTGGGTATTCTTCGTCAGTAAACAACTTGCAGCCATAATTTTTACATTTTTGAGAATCACATCGCGGCTTCATGATTCTTTGCGGAACTTGCTTTCTCAAATAGGGACTCACGTATGCTTTTCCTTCTGTTCTTAGGGTGCGTGCCATCTTTTTCATGTTGTTTTTGCTTATAACTACTGATAACTTACCTATAAAAAGATACCACTGCATTAAAAGGCACACTCAAACTCAAACTTAATATCTTCACTTTCAACAAAAAAATGTAGAAAACCTTGCAGGGTTAACACCACCAGGAAGCGAACGAAATGATTATGAATCAATTTATGCTACATGGTTGCCGGTGCGAAGTAGCTCATCGGGGGCACATCAGCCAAACATTATTAGTTGGAAATCTGACAAAAAGGCGTAAATTCGTTTCCGGGATATACGCCTCTTTGTAAGATCCTGCGGTTACTTTTAATGTCGCTTCCGCCCATACCAACCACGTTCTAATAGGGAAGATATTACTTATACAATTACGCCCGTTGGTCAGATCATATATATACTCCATAGAGATATTTTCATGGAATAATCTGTATTTTAGAAATATTGTCGCTTACGCCCATTTGTCAGAGAAGCGACGATACATGCTGCTCTGAATACAGGTAAATACTTGTACACTGGGGTTAAATGGCCATTTACGAAGGTCATTTAGTAAGCTTATTTATTGATTTATACTTGTATTATTGCTGTTAGTTGTTATACTTTTTATTTCTTTATTTAGGGGCAAGTTGAGTGTAATTAATCATTATTGTAAATACTAGTTTAAGAACATATGGTTAGATACTTCTAGACCAGTGATTCCCAACCGGTGGGTCGCGACCCCTAAGGAGGTCGCATACGGTTTTTGGAGGGGTCGCAATGCCAGTAATTTGATATAAGGTACCTGCTCCAAATAAGGCCATGTTAAGAAGTTTAATTTTTTCCTAACGTTATCCACCAAGCCCAACAATAATCACGAGCTTATATGTGAAGTGTTTCGTTTCTATTACTCGAATATTAACACCAGTTTATTTAATTTTTAAAAAAAGTGGAGGTTTTTGCATACAACAAAGACGCTTACCATTGGCCTTATTTGGATCATTATGCTCCTAATAAGGCCACCATTAAAAAATGTTAAAAATAAATATGTACAATTATTTAAGAAAATATTTTTTGAGAAATAGTAGGTATCCCACAAAATAGAACTTAAACGCTTGCTGCATTCTAAAAAAACAATAATTTCAAGTCCTGGGATGCTGATCCAAATAGGTCTACATACAGATAGGACAAATGAACTGCAGCTTCTATTGTTTGGTTAGATTAAAGGCGTTCTAAAACACATCACTTGAGTAATAATATGACACATTCTTTAAAAAAAACAGTATGATGTGAGGCCAATTGAACATTTTTCTAATATGGCCTTATTAGGAACATGTTACATTGATAAAAAAAAGTCTGTAACTAGAAATCTAGCAAAGATATTATTCTGTGTTTACTCTGTAGCTTTCTCAATACATAAATGTCTGTGTAAAAATGATATTCGCTCCATTCACTTTATAAACATGTGTTTAAACTAATTAAGTTCCAGCCTCAAAGTTATAACGTGACATATGAAATATATGGTTGGCCATTTTTCCACATATAACGAGTTGCTAGGAATCCTGGCAATAATTTTTGATTTGCATTATAGTTATCTTTTTTAATAATATTGTAATTTTTGAAAATATGATTCAATATTAAGCAATAAGGGGCACTGGCCTTATTAGGTACATGGCCTTATTTGGGTCAGGTACCTTATATGTTTTTGCATTTGGCAACACGCCTTAGGCTCCGGCTCGAAAGCCGAGCAGCATTGCATTGGCGTTACGGACGAAGCGCATAGCACAGGTTGTGAGTGTTGTGTTGTGACTGTGAGTCGCATGTTTTTGAATATAGGTAGCTATGAATAATAGCTGAAGCATCAGAAACCGAAATTGTGGAGAATCTAAAAGAGAAAATGCATTATCACCTCCAATCCCTTGAGAATAAAATGGGCATTATTTTCCCGAGTTATCTGAACAAAAAGCTGCAGTAGTGAGGAACTCGCTTCAAGCTTCGTTAGATGTTGCTGACGTTCCTGATGAAGTGCAGGGTACATTTTTAGAGCTGAGGAATGATTCCACACCACCTGCCCTATTTCAGGAAAAATCCTTATTGAATATTGATGTGCCATGTACCATGCATAGTTCATATCTTTATGTCGCCCTGCTAAAGTTCATTTCACCAAACGAGATAGTGGAAGTAAACAAACTTTGACAGGTTAGTCGAATTTTATTGGCTAAAAAAGGATTATACTCCGCCCTAGACAGGACCGTCTTAGGTTGTTTTGTATTTGTATTCTCTGAATATCTTTATTTTTGGTATTCAGCGGAATCTGTTGAACTTGATATTGGTTTAATCTAAATTGCTCACTAATTAACAATAATTATTCACTAAACACTATTTAAATAATTGTAAAATATTAGGAAATACGACACCAAAACCTATTGGCTCATATGACAACCTGACAATAATACATGTCATTTGTTGTAATTCATATTTTTGCAGTCCTTCTCTGAATTTTTAAGCTCCGCCTGTTTGTTTATCTCTACTATCTCGTTTCGTGGAATGAACTTTAGTGCTTTCTTTTCGGATACTAATATATGCCTCTACCTTCCTTCGTGGAAGCAAGTGGTTTTTCAACTCTTTTGCAAATTAGACCAAAGGCCAGGAATAGACTGGGCGTTCAAGATGACATAGATTGGCATTAACAAAAACTCAACCAAGAACTTCAAAACTTGAAAAATGGAATTTTGTTTTTTATTTATTAATGGGTAGGGGGGTCGCGACCTCATAAGCAAATCTGTAAAAGGGTCGTGACTAAAAAAAGGTTGGGAACCACTGTTCTAGACGATTTCTTTTCTTGTTATGGTTCCAGTGTAAATAATTTTCAGTGTTCTAGGGCGGTCGGAAAACCCACTCCGAAGCTGCTCTGGAATCAAACCTGTCTTGTTCTGGTTCTAATTAAAACCCGTCCTCCCTTCTTGTTTACGTTTATATTTCAGGTTGTGCTGCTATAGGTCCGTAGAAGTTTCCTGCTTTCGTTATATCGGTTTATTTCGTGTACTACAGAGAAAAAGCAGGTGGCGCTCTATATTTAGTTATTTAATTGACCCACATCCCTCTCCGCATTGGAAGCTAGTCGGCAAACCACGAAATCACGTTTCTAGATTTCAGCCACCAACCAACCTTTTCTTTCTCCTTTTACTTTTTTTTTCTTAGTTACCCGTTCACTTCAGTCACTCCCTCAGAGTTCATTATTTACTTCTCCCTCGCGTTTTGCGGGTAACAAAGTGGCAGTGTCCGTTTTGCCACGTAATACCTTTTGTAGCTTATTATTTCTTAGGGCTTATTATATCTCCTATTTTTATTAATCTACTAGACGCAACACCAAGAACACTTTGCTTCTGATTTTCTGAATTTAAATTTCGTGGTTAGATCTTCATTATTGACAACTCATCAGGGGCGGATGGGCTCAGGCGGGACACCGGGACGATTCCCGGTGGGCTAGAGACCAAATGGGCCGGTTTAGGAAAAAAATAAATGATAACAATTCGCCGCAACTTAAAAGAAAAAAAAATCACTTAAGGCGTGATGCGACAATACTCTGCCAAATCAACAGAAAGCGATCTTTGTTTTTTATGGTTTTTCATAAGGCGTAGAGCTGCGATGCTAATATTGGAAAATATTTTCATTAACATGTACACTTTTTCTGTAAATGTACACTTTGTCTATAAACTTACACTTTTTCTGTACAATCAGACATTACCGAGGACATTACCAAACTTACCGATAATAACCCGGTTAGTTTATGTCAGTTTGCAATTGTAATCAAACATTACCAAACTTTACCAATAATAACCCTGTTAGTTTGCAATTTTAATCACACATTTCCAAACTTACCGATAATAACCCGGTTAGTTTGGGTTAGTTTGAAATTTTAATTATTCATAAGCATTATGTTTTTAAAATTTGTGTTAGTTTGCAATTCTAATCAAACGACCAAACTTACCAATAATAAATAACTCGGTTAGCTTGAGTTAGTTCGCAATTTTAATCAGACAATTCCAAACTTACCGATAATAATCCAGTTAGATTGCGTTAGTTTGCAATTTTAATTAAACATAATTATTTTATTATGTTTTCAAAATTATTGATTTTTGAAAGAACTGTTATGTGAAGTCAATATTTTCCAAATGGTTGATTTTCGAAATAAAAGCATTCGGAGAAAAAATCGTAATTGTTGTTTTCGAAAAATGAACACGGACCGTCTGAATAAAATTGCAAACTAACCCAAACTACGGTAAATTTGGTAATGTTATATTAAACAGAAAAAGTGTAAAGCTGGGTTTATACAGCCACATAACATAACATAAGAAATAACATAACATAAAATAAAAAGTTGACCTTATGGAAGCCCCTTATAATGTTTATACAGAAAATAACATAACATAAGAAATAAGAAAGTTGGTTAACTTGTAATTTTTATGTCTTATTTTATGTGAAAACGGAACTGCGCATGCTCATCCCTTGATGTCGACAATGGCGGAGTAGTAATCAATAAAACATTCCAAATAAAACAAAATTATTTTTATTTTCATTTCGGCTTTTGGTAATTTCTTGGATTCGATATTTACTTTTGTTTTTCTGCTGAATTATTAATTAATAAAAAATTTCATCAAATATTAGACAATCCCAATGAAATCCAA